TGCATGGCTAGAAACTGTAAAAAAAAAAAGTCAAATAATAGTATGAGAGACAGTGGTAATATCATTATGTTCCTATTGGTCAGTGTTCAAGGAGCTTAGCTTAGCCTGACAGTTAGCCTGCTTTAGACCAGGTTAGTTTCCCAGCATAAGTTGCCATAGTAACTAAGCTTGATCTAGGCCTACTTTGCTTTATGGAACCAAACCATTTGACAATGAGTCAAACTAACTGAAATAAGTCTGGCTTATTTGGTTAACTTGTTTTATGAAACAGGCCTCGAGGCATTAAAAGTGATCATATTTTTCCATTGCATCACATTGCATCGAATCGCATTGTGTTGAATCGAATCGAATTGAAATCGGATCGCACTGCATCGTAACAGGGGTGAATCGTATCGCATCGCATCGGTAGCTGCTTCATATGTATCTTTAATGTATCGTATCGTTGGCTATGCATCGAGATACGTATCGTATCGGCCTGAGTCATGAGATGCACATCCCTATAAGCACACAAGCAAAGATTATGACATGAACTGCGTCTAGGAGTGCCGCTGGAATCGACTTCTGCTTGCTCACATTCCCAGAGACGCGTCTACTCGTTCGCCCTCTTCACAGAGGCTTACAGTCGCAGAAACAGAAATGTAACGTTCTTCTCTTTTGTTTCGCAGGGGATCTTCCCAGCCGGCTACGTCCACTTGAAGAAGGCTGTTGTCACGAACAGGGGGTAAGTGTCTTTATACTGATTCATGTCAAGCTGCTCCCTCAATAGAGAACAAATGGGTTGGACGAGGAAAGGTGACGGGGAGAGAGATGGATGGAAGAGAAGCGTAATCTATCTCAATCCTCTGATTCCCTTTCTCCTCTCCTGCTGGCTCATGAGTTTCATCACAAGCCTGAAAGGCTGAGGTTTCATCTTTTGGAAGATCTCTTACTCCCATTTCTCTCTGTCAAATATTTGCTTCAGATATGAAGCTTAGTGTGACGTGAGACCATCAGCTCCTGGGATTCAAATGCTTCATGTATTGAATGTTTTTTTTAAGGGATAATTGATTTAATGGATAAACGGAGAGGTTTATATCGCCTCCCCTTGTGAAAAAGAAGAGTATCGCATGTGTAGTGTACTTGAAATCTTAAATATATATATATATTTTAAAAGCGGTACTTGCAGATAATATAATATTAATGAAATGAAAGTGCACTTAAAGAGAGACATTTTCATGACTGCTTCTTAACACACTTAAGTGCAATTTCAAGAAGTGCACTTTGTAATAAAGTCAAATTAAAAGTTTTGCTTCAACATGAATTTTAAATCATGCTATTAGTTCACCATGTGCATTTTAGTTAGCTTTTCAGTGCATTCAGTAGCACATAGAATTAAGAATTTACATACAGATGTACTTTCTAATGGGTCAAAAAGCTAAAACAAATGCATTTATTATGAATTTAAACTATAATACATTTTCATTTAATTAGCAATTAACATGCTTTTAAGTGTCTGAAAAGAATGCATTCAGTTTGCACTTGAAGAAGGAATAGTTAACTGAAAACTGAAAATTACTCTTCCTCAGGCCATTCAAGATGTAGATGAGTTTGTTTCTTCATCAGATTTGGAGAAATGTAGCATTACATCACTTGCTCAGCAATGGATCCTCTGCAGTGAATGGGTGCCGTCAGAATGAGAGTCCAAACAGCTGATAAAAACATCACAATAATCCACAAGTAATCCACACCACTCCAGTCCATCAGTTAATGTCTTGAGAAGTGAAAAGCTGTGATTAGATTGTGGAAAGGTTGTTTCGCTTTTGCAGATTCATTCACAGGTTTGAATCTGATTCAGTGATTCAGTGGCACACTGAATGTTAATTGTTAAGGCATGCGGTATAAAGACGGAGAGAACGGGAAACAGTGAGCAAGAAAGAGAGCAGAGAAACTCCGGGCCATCACTCCCAGTGGGAACTCACTGCCGAAAACACGCAGGAAAACTGCACGTCAGGGACTGTCGGTCGACAGCTTCTTCTGTTTGTTTTAGCTTTTGATGTTTTCCAACTTTTTCACAGGTGTTTGCGTGTGGCACCGTGAGTTGAACTTCACAGCGTCCCTCAGCACTCACGCACATGCGCAAACAAGCCTATATTTGTGAAGGCAGCATGCTAGAGTAGATCCCAGCAGTCGTGTTCAACACATAGATGTTTACAAACAGCTTTACTTAGAAAATATTACACAATTATCTTAAAACCCATGCACACTCTTGTTCAACTTTGATAATGATGCATTATGCACTGGTACAGTTTTTTTACAGTATTTATTTTGTTCATGTCAGTTACAGTGTAAGCGTAGGACACATACACATTAAAACAGTAAAATATAATATTTTTATAAAGTTTAAAGTACTATTTTGAATATAGATGTTTAAATATTTAATACACAAATATATATTTTTAGGTATTAAATATTATACATTATTTTACACATTTAAATTTTTTTTTAAATTCTCGTTTACGTAATTTTAAAAAAAAACACATGAATATTGTGTTATTATTATTATTATTATTATTATCATCATCAAAAAACAGCAATATTTAATTAACCGACTGTTTAATCAGCTCATAACAATGAATTACACAACCATTTAAAAGTTTGCGGTCTGTAAGTTTCTTCTGCTAACCAAGGCTGTATTTATTTGTTCAAAAATACAGTAAAAGTAGCCTTTAAAATACCTGTTTACTACTGTAATATATTTTAAAATGTAATTTATTTCTGTGATCAAAAGCTCAATTTTGTCACGTCACATGATCCTTCAGAGATCTTTTTAATATGCCGATTTAGTGCTTAGTAATTATTTATTTAAAACAGTTAAAACAGTTGTGCTGAATCATATTTTTTTGTGAAAACAGTGATACAGGATTTTTGTCAGGAATCTTTGATGAATAGAAAGATCAAAGAAAAACTTTTATTTGAAATAGAAATCTTTTGTAACATTATAAATGTGTTTACTGTCACTTTTGATAAATTTAATGCATTTCACTGACCCCAAGCTTGAATGGCTATCCAAAGGGTAATTTCTAAATGACTTAAAACTACAGATCATATTTTAATGTATTAATGGTAGGTGACCCCATATTTGGGTTTTAGGTGATCCACAATCCATTTTTACTCTTAAAGTTCTCCACCACCTGAAAAAGTTTGAGACTTGTCTATGTAAATAGCTATGGTGCTGTGATTTTGTTGCTTAGCTTCAGTTACAGGGAGTCATGTCCAGCCGTGTCCCGGGATCAAATTATAGCGTCTCATCAGAATGCACAAAACAAGGAGAAAATGACTCTGAAAGCTGTTACTTTGGACACATGTGATGATAAAGCAGAATAAAGAGATCAATTTGTTTCCACCGTGTGTCAGAGAAGGACAGTGGAAGGACAATGAGGGCTGATGGATGTATAACAATATGGAGAGATGGATGGACAGGAAGAGCTAAAGAGACAGCAGGAAGATGAAGCAGGAGAATTTAATGCTATTGGTTTATGATGATAGCTCTACGTACAGTATGCTGTTATTTTAAAGACCCTGTATGAAATGCTTTAACAAAGTTAAACAAATGATTTAAAGGCACAATATGTAATTTTTCGCCGCTAGAGGGTGCGTATTCAAAACAAAGGCGTAGTTTGATGACACCGTGACTGAGTGTGGAATCATGGGAGTTGTGGTCTTCATCCCCACAGCCGATGCAATTCGACGGGACTCGGGCAGAAATCATGTTCATGGATGAGATAATGATTTATTAACGTAGTAGAATGAAGCAGGGTGAGGCTGAAAGCCGTCGAAGCGAAACGAGGCCGCTGAACGAGCGTGACACACGGCTCGAAAGCAGCGGAGCTTTTATTATGCCACAGTCGACCGCTTGCGCTCCTTCCGGTCGTGCGTATGTGTGGTAAAGCAGCGCTGTTTTATCATACTAGATACATTTGAAAGTTCTGTTATAATGCTACTCTGTGCAGTCGTCACCGGTCTAATAAAACGCATAACATGTCTTTGATGTTTCCATGTTTTCTACAAAACAAAACCGGAAATCGAGGGGTTATGACGTCATTGGCAGGCGACACAATGACACTATGGACACGGTCCGTGTCACTAGTTAAAACTGCTTATTTCTCTGGATTTAAACATTCTGCAAAACATTTGGGATAATGTAAGTACACAAGTCAGCAAAATATATAACACTGTTCTAGTGGTTTTTGGATATTTTAATAAAAAAAATCTTACATATTGTGCCTTTAAAGAGTATTAAGTAAAATGAAAACGTCATGTACAAGTAAATCATAAATAATTTTTCTTTTTTTCCCCTCCTGTTATAGACCAGGCTTAAAATGCAGTACCCAGTTTTATTAATATTTACACATATACATATTTAAAACACATTAAAATATTAACTTGACTGTAAAAGGTATACTCCTGCAGAGTGTCTGTTTATCAGAGGACATAGTGAACTTCCTTTTCTATGTCTAAGCCAAGAGCAGAAGCGTAAAGAGAGAGAAGATAGCCATGGCAGATCGAAGAAGAGAAAATAAGAAAAAACACAAGAAGAAGAAGAACAGAGATAACTTGGAGAGCAGTGGATCTGAATCAGACACAGTTTACCCCAGCAACCTGTTACAAAAGGAGAATGCTGACAGGTGTGTTCATAGAAAAATCCCGCAGTACATTGATCCACAGTCAGTCTCTGATCTTTGTACCCACTTACATCTATATCAGGCTTAAAAGGCTTCACACATTTAATCTCTTAAAGGGACAGTTCACCCAAAAGTGAAAATCCTGTCATTATGTACTTATCCTCCTGCTGTTTCAAACGGTATGCCTTTCTTTCTTCCACTAAACATTAAAGTAGAAATTTAGAAAAAAGATAATGCTGCTATTTTGTACACAACAAAAGCAGGTAATTACAGTTTGTGGGTGAACTGTTCCTTTTGGGGAATACGAAAGATTTGCAAGTACCTTACAAAGATTGTTCTTTGTTTTTTGGATTGTTTTAGAACATTAAAATGCACAAAACCTGAACCATAATTCTGGACTGTGTATTTAAGACACTTTTAACCCTGGATTTTTGGATGATGGTGTGTGTTGTTTTTAATGTCCTTGTCTTTCATCTTCTTGGCTGCAGAGAGGAAGCTCAAGTTCGGGTGAGCGAGACCTTTATCTGGCTGGATGACCTCCAGACCCCCACTGACTCCCCCTTCTGTATTGACAGAAGAGCTGACCGTGCCAACTGGGAATACAAATCCCTCTATAGGGGAGACATAGCCAGGTAACTTTACTCACTATCTCTGTGTGTCTGTCTGTCTCGCACACAGATGCTCTCCTCTTTCATTCTTTCTGTTTGTCTCTCTGAAGGTCAGCCAGTCTCAGCAGCAGCAGCAGGTGCCAGACGCTCTATAATGCAGGGGAGCACTGCGACTGTGTGCGTACGAGAGAGCTGCAGTGTGTATTGTGCTCATGTGTCTCTTTCAACTGCTTTTATAACCCCAGCTTCTGTTTGCAGAAACCCTTTGAAATCCACATTAAATTTTCTGCATTCCAACTCCAGAAGCACTTTTTGTCCTCCCTTTGACACACACACACAGTTACACACACACACACACTTTTTTATTGCACTTCTTTTTACTTCACAATTGCAGTTAACTTAATGATTAACATGCAGACTCCATTTAAACTTTTTTTCTCAAAAAAAGTGTGACATTTGCAAAAGGATGTGTGAGACTAGTCAACTAAATAATACTGCTGCTGCTAGTCGAGATTGGAAATACTTGTTTATGCTATTGAATTTCATTCATTTTGGCACATTTATGTTTTGCTTTATATTCTTACAAAAGCTATGTTTAAATTAATGTAATGTTCATGTTGCGTTTTACTGTATATATGTCCACTCAGAAAGTGAGCATGGTGAGAGAGTATTTTTACCTACACAAACCTTTTTAGTTTTATTTTATGTCAAACTGGTATATAACAGTTAAGCTTGCTTATAGGCTTTTAAGCAGTATGTCATTTTATAGAGATTTAGGGGAAATACTATGAATGAAACCTACTTGACAGCAACACTAAATTCTGTATGAATACCCTAATGAATAGAATACCCTTAAATAATATATAGTTGCCAGTACACATCAAGCTTTTCTTGCGATGTGTACAGATACATTTCATACATGAGAAGCGTGTTCAAAAACAGATGTGCAAAGCTCCTGCCATGAATAAACAAAACCTTGGTGTGTTAACTAACTTTTATTTGAGGGATTCTGTTTGTAATAGGCTACTGAGTTTGTATTTATTGGTCACTGCCTTTTGAGTGAGTTAAATTTAATGCAAGGCAAGCACATATATATTATATATATATATAATATGATCTATTTTTCAGCGGCATTCCTTACAGGATTTGACTGTTTGATTCGTCGATTAAGTAGGTAATTTTAAATGGATTGCTTGCTTATACAGACAGTTTTTTGTCTTCTCTGGGATTTAATTAAGATTACAGTTTGAGTACATGTAGTATGTTTAAAAAAAAAGGAAGTGAAGTGACATGTGGCCAAGTATGGTGACCCATACTAGGAACTAGTGCTCTGCATTTATCCCATCCAAAGTGCATACACACAGCAGTGAACACACACACACCGTGAACACACACCCGGAGCAGTGGGCAGCCATTT